AAATGGGGTCAGCACTAGAGTGCTATTTATAAATAAAAATGTTTATTCCTTCCTTTATTCATTACTTCATTTGACCAGAGGTCTTAAGTTTATAAGCACAACATCTCAGCACTTAAGCAATGAAGAGCGTTAAGACAAAATCCAAGGCAGTAAAATACATTGAAAATGCTTTTTTGCTTTATATATTTGTATCCCACTTTTCTCTTTATCAGTGGGACTCAAAGCAACTTACATCACTAAACCCAGCTAAAATTTCATTTTGCAAAAGTGCAGTACAAATAACAAGAGAGCAGGCACTTTACCCCTTGTAGTAACTGACTTTAGAAACTAACCACAAAACTCCCAGTTTCTGTTCTAGTTTGTCCCCAAGATTATCTGCTACATTACAGGTTTTTTAAAAATTAGCATTAAGTGACCGAACAAGTTCATCGACCATATCACAAATATGGCAGAAATTAATCAAAGGTTATTTGGGCAAGCAGGAAGCCTGGCATTGGGCCGTTTGATGTGATGGTCTTACTGAGGATGCTCAACCACTGCAAAAACAAAGGTCAGTAGAAGTTACACCTTTCCAAATCCACTGAAATCAGTGGGCTTAAAAGGATGTACGTAGCTCTGTTCAGGATTGCACTGATAATCTTGCAACAACTCCTTCATGCCTGATGGAAATTTCTAGGGCCAGTCCTGAGTGTCTCTCTATTCTTATCTTGTTTTCAGGGCTGATAAAGACAGAGGGAAGGTATATCATTACCCTGCCTGTCAGATTTGGGGGGGGGGGGTGCTCAGCGATTACTTTCAGATGGACTTTCTTGACACCAAACATTGGAGACCATTCATCACTTGATTGACAAACTAGGTCAAAGAAAAGCAGCAACTCAGCATCCCACATCTACTGCCTCCATGTGTGCGTGTGTGTATATATGGAAGCAACACACACAGCTTTTTCCCCCTTTGCGGCTGTGAGGAAAGGAAAAAAGATTGTGGCATCATGGTGAGAAACATTCCCTCATTGATTTACATTTTCTTGGGCCATTATATCTTTCCTTTAAGACGAACTAATGATCTTAAGCAAATGGCATGAGGTGTGACATTTCATCTATATTTCTAACACTGTGTCTCCTTATTCTAACAAAGAGCTGGGTCTTTGTGTTAGGAAAATACCCATGTCAAAAATGGCATTTAAAGAAAGGTTATGTCTCCTGAAAATGAGCAAATATTCCTGTTTCTACATTTTGCCTTACTTAATGCTTCTCAGCTCAGTCTGTTTTAAAGGGCAAATGCATAAATGGCTTGCTGATGGACAGCAGTGTTCTGTTTTTTATACCGTAATATTAATTTAAGCATAATCCCAGATGTATTTAGATAGAAATGTGGGTTATTTATTGCAATGGGACTTTCTCCTACGTATTTATCCATCCCAATGCTATGAATATTGACTTGGAAATACAGCCCACTTAGTAACAATGACATTTATTCACAAGTAAATAAGCATAAGACTGCAGTCTTTGCCATTTCTAAAGAAACCTTGGGCATTTTGTAAGTTGCCTCAGGTCCTGTGGCAGAAGGCCAGATTTCAATTTTATTTAATTTATTATGTTGTTGTTATTATTATTATAATATTTTAATTTAATCTTATTTAAATTTTTGTTTATTTTTAGCAGAAATGTTAATGCTTACAGCTCTTAGAACAAAGAAGCAACCATGCCAAATCAAATCCAGCATCCTGTCTCACAGTGACCCACCATATGCCCCTGGAAGGCCTACAAGTAGGGCACAGGAGGCCACAGAAGCCCCTTGCTGCTGTCCCCCAGCACTGCCTCTGAACATGGAGGTGGTTCCACTTAATCATCATGGCTAATAGCCATTGAGAGACTTGCTCTTCATTAATTGCTCATCAAATTCCCCACAGAAGTTCTAGCATTATGGGACAGGAAGAAAAAATTCTCTTTATTCACTTTTCTTAACCCATAAATAATTTTATAAGTCTCTTATCATTTCTGCCCCTTACACTGAAAAATTAAATACACCAGTTTGGTGTAGTGGTTAAGTGCATGGACTCTAATCTGGGAGAACCAGGTTTGATTCCCTACTCCTCCACTTGGAGCTGCTGGATGATCTTGGGAAAGCCATAGTTCTGCCAGAGCTGTTCTCTCAAGGACAGTTCTGGAAAGAGCTCTCTCAGCCCCACCTACCTCCCAGGGTGTCTGTTGTGGGGAGGGGAAGGGAAAGGAGATTGTAAGCCGCTCTGAGACTCCAAGTGAAGGGCGGGGTATGAATCCAATCCCTTCTTCATCTTGAAGTCCTTAGCTGCTTCTTGTATGGAAGATGCTTTATCCCCTCACTCAGTTTGGTCACCATTTTTGCATACCTTTTCCAGCACTACAATACCCACATTCAGTTCTGATTGCTGTACTTAAAATGTAGGTACCACAAGACATTACAATATTGGCTACTTAGTTTAATTTAACAATAGGGTTGTAAGCCTTTGCAAAACTACCTCGAAGTAAGCCTAGCTGAACACAGTAGAACTTACTTCAGAGCATCAGAAGAAGTGTGCATGCACGCAAAAGCTTACACCTAGAATTAAACTTTGTTGGTTGTAAAGGTGCTACTGGATTCAAACTTTGTTCTATTTTGCTTCAGATTTACAGAACTACCTACCTGCATCTTATTTCAGAGTAAACATGTATAGGACCAGGCTACACAAGGACTTCAAACCACAGCCCTGTAACAACATTTTCTATACTTAATATCTTTTGGCTGCGGTCACCCACACTAAATAATCCACTTTCAATGCACTTTCCAACTGGATTTTTACTGTGTGAACTTATTGAAAGTGGATTATTTAGTGTGTGTGACCGCAGCCTTTAAATATCAGTTTCATTGAAGTGAGTCACCAGCAGAAACCATGTCTAAGTAAAAGCATGCTAGGCCAGAGTATCCAAAGGGAAAGTTTTAATCATGATTTGGCACACTGTTTAGAGTCTTGGACTCTGGTTGGGTGGGATTAAATCCATACCAACCTATGGAGCTCACTGGGTAGGCTTGGACCTGCTCTTAGTCTAGCCTATCTAACAGGGTTGTTGTAAAAATAAAAAGTACATACCAAATGATAATAGGTGAACTGTACCATGAAACTGGGCTGGTATAGCATTATAATTAACAGTGAACTAGGAAGATCCCTGTCACCCATAAATTCATTTATAAATATCAGTATTCCGCAAACCTCTATCAAAAATATAAGGATTGTTTATTTATTTAGCTTATTTATAGCCTTTTTCACTGATAAATGTTGCTGAGAAATATCTGTACTATCTTACAAATGGAAATCAAAGAATTGTGGCCATTTGTAGAGCAGGGTTTAATTTTTTGAAAAATTCATGCCAGTCTTTTCAGACATGGCACCCATCTTAATTTCCAACACACAATAGCAACCAACTTTTCATTTCCCCCCCAATCTTTCTGTTTCTGTGGCAACCACATGCAAAGGAAGACTGAGCTCTTGTATCATTAGCAGTCTTGTAGCGCAAAATAAAAGTACTTCAACTATATAACGAATCACACTTGTTAAAATTACCATTATTATACCATACTGTTCTTCAAGGTACAGAAGTCATGGCCTTCTTTACGTTTAAACACCCTTAAGCCCCACACCCAAGAAAGCAATTATATTTTATTTAGACAGCAGTAGCATAGCACATTTTATTAGAACTAGCTAAAATGCAACATGATCGAGCTTTGGAATTCCCCAGAATTCTTAAACACTGCTTTATTACTCTGTCACATTCTATGTCTGTCCTAATAAAAAGGTCTTATTCTACTACTGTTGCTTGGAATTTTAATCTGTTACTTTCAACTGCTTCCTTAAAGTACATTATTCACATTGGTTTTTCCAATTTATTAATGACATTTTTATCCCACCCTCTCTCCATGGAGCTCACAGTAACTCATTCTCTCCTCTCATTTAAGCTTCACAACAGTCCTACAAAGTAGGTGACACAGGATGTGGC